CAAAGAAAGGGTAGAAGCTGCAGATGTATTGGAAGAAAAATCAAAGGTCCTTGCTAGTTGTGCTTACGAAAATAACACCGAGTGGGGCAAGGAGGTATATCTCTTAACTCTCTCACTCGAGCAGACATGAAAGTGTGTATTTATGCAGTGCTTACTCTCGCCTTAATTCATGTTTGATTTCAGATGGGACTAAAATATGGGTGTCCAGTTGAAGACGTGATAACAGGTTTATCGATCCAATGCCGGGGATGGAAGTCAGTGTATTATAATCCTGAAAGGAAGGCTTTTCTCTGAGTTACAGCGACCATGCTTGCTCAGATACTGGTGCAACACAAGAGATGGTCTGAAGGTGACTTTTAGATATTACTTTCGAAATACAGTCCGGCTTGGTTTGCCAATGGAAAGATTAGCTTAGGGCTTCAGCTAGGATATTGCTGTTACTGCTTCTGGGCCTCTAATTGGTTGGCAGTGCTGTACTATTCTGTTGCTCCTTCCCTTTATCTTCTAAGAGGCATTCCTTTGTTCCCTGAGGTACGTTACTTTCCGGTTGATTTTCGATTTAATCCGTTCATCGACTGAAATTCACACGTTACAAACATATCCGGTTGTCAAGTCCATGGTTTCTTCCATTTGCATACGTTGTAATCTCGAAGTATACGTATAGCCTGGCGGAGTTCCTATGGAGCGGTGGCACGGTCCTAGGGTGGTGGAATGATCAAAGGATATGGTTTTACAAAAGATCTCCTATCTCTTGGCCTTCATTGACACCATTGCAAAAAACAACAACAACAACAACAACAAAACCATATTCCCTTATGTAATGGGGTAAGGGGAGGTAGAGTAGTAGGTTGCCCCCAACGTCAGGTTGAGAGCAGCTTTCGTGGAAGATTTCCGGCAGTAAGAAAATTAAAAATAAAGATAAAATACAATGCATGTATGAATAAATAAATACATGGTGGACACTCTTCATATACAGTCTTCGTATGCGCGTCTGTAATGAGCAATAATCCTTGAAAATAAATCTCTGCGTAAAAATATTTGCATATAGACAGAAACGTAAGACCCGACTATATTTAAAAAAAGTAAATATGAAGAGCATGATACACAGAAATCAATGGTAGCAAGCTACGAGAAAAGAATGAAGTCAAAAGGGTTAAAACTTAAATTAAGGCATCACTACTCCGCTATCCTAATTCTAAGTCTTCATAAATTTCAATGACAAAAAACGTATAAAAAGTAGAGATCATATAAATTATTACAAAGACATTAAAAGAAAACAGAGATAATACACCCTATGGATGTGACACCATTGCAAAAATAAAAATCATTGGAACTAAATTCGGATACTGCATTTGTAATCACGGCAAAAGTTTCTAAACAGGAAGTCTACAAACGATACGTGAAAGAGATAATGGAGTTTGGAGACTCGTCTCCGATGTTCACCGTGCTGTCAACGATCGCATTGGTGATTTTAGTTTGCTTGGCTGGATTGATGAAAAAAGCAATCATGAATGAGGGTATTATTAGAATCTGTGAGACAATACCTCTGCAATTTGTTCTTTGTGCCATTCTGGTTCTCATCAACTGGCCTTTGTACCAAGGACTTTACTATAGGAAAGACAATGGCAAGATGCCAAGCTCCATAGCTATCAAATCAGTTGTATTGGCTGTGTCAACTTGTACTTGTTTTACATTCTTGATTTGATGAATTGCCATGTTCCTGCTGATTTCATGCACTGTATATATGGTTTGAAGAAATAATACATGTTACGTCATAAATATGTTGATTGTTAGTCAATTAACAATTTTCATCCAACACAATTTGTTTGAACTAAAAATTTAGACACTAAAACTAGAATGCTCTAAAAGAAAAGATAAAATGATTATTTATATAAATATTTTAAATAATTTTAACATTATGTATTTTAAAATTGAATTTTGAAACACTCAAGTTTAAAACTTTAAGAATATAATTTATTTTGACTAAATTTTTCTACGATTTCACACTGTACAAGATTACATGTATACAAGTACATGGTCTAAAACATGGATTCAATGAGCCAATCCAAGGCAATGGCAATTCGCAAAGTTAGCAACCGCAAATATTTTAAATCCATATATGTTTATGCTTCGGTAAGCAATTTTTTCGGTTTACAATTATAAAATTAAATAAATATAACTTCCTTTCTTTTTACACCTTAAAAAATAATTTCAAAACCAAGTAATAATAAAGAGAGAGAGAAAAACAATAGGGCCACGCTGGATAAAGAAAATGTTATTCTGGACATGAGATACAGATGATTGTAACCACGTCGAAGACAACTTCATCAGACATATAAAACTCTTTCCTCTCGTATTGTCCGTCTTCAAAACACTTCAAAAGATCTAATCTTTCACGTTCTTGTAAACTCTTCAAAAACAGGAACAAAAGAGGGGAAAAGGTAAAATTTTTATAGAAAAGTATAGCTTTTTTTGTTAAAAAAATTCATAGCTTTGATCTAGTTTTGAATTGTTTTCATATTTTTCCTGCATCTTTTATGCACTAACTTGATCATTCAATTGTGATTCTAATTCACCTTATATGTCCTCTTCTTCGTTTTTCCTTCAATAATTGTGGGGATTATCTGAAAGTTTCTGGTTTGAAAAGGTTTCCTTCTTTTTGTTTTTTTAAATGTTTGGTGGGGATTTCTTCTTCTTCTTCTTCTTAATTTTAATCAATTATCATGAACTTGAAGGGGGAAAGGGATGATTTGGTGGATATTTCTCTGGGGTTTTTTTATTCCATTACTTGTTACTGTTTATATTTTATTACTTATGTTAGGTTTTGTGAAGTATTAATCTGTTAGTGTTTGATTTTATATAATTTGATATTTTTACAATCAAATTAAGGCTATGTATTCATGTTTTTTTACATCATGTTTCGTAACTAGGAACCTTTGACTTTGTATTTTGCAGATGAAAATCGGATCCCTTGAATTTGTTGCTGTTATATTGCTAGTATTCTTGTGTATACCGAATGGCGTGTTTGGGATTAGATTTGTAATTGATAGAGAAGAATGCTTCTCTCACGATGTTAAGTATGAAGGGGATACGATTCATGTGTCGTTTGTTGTCATTAAGGCCGATTCATCTTGGCATAATAGTCACGAGGGTGTTGATCTTGTGGTAAGCTTCCTCATCTCTTCCTTACTTTGTGTACTTGTATAGCGTATTTCAAGTGCTAGCATGTAGTTTAGTTATTGCAATATTGAGATTTCTTGCTTAGGGCATTGTTAAGTGTGTGAAGTCTGCAAGTTAATAGTGTTTGAGAATGGGTGATCTTATGAATTTAAATCAGATCTCAGTCCTTTATGAGCTGATTATGAGTCCGGTGATCAGATTTGGGCTCCGCCTTTACCTCCATACCCTTTACTTGAAGTCAACAATTCAAATCTGAAACTACAGTTAATAATTAGTATTATACAGAAAACATAGGATTATAGTACTAATGTATTTTTCAAGTTGTTAAGGTGGACTAGAAATGGAAACAGATTTCAAACTTTTTACTTCTAGAGACCAATCAGGCTTAGAAAAGTTTACTTGTAGTGCTTTCAAGTCAAAGAATGAGATGTACGTAAAGTTTTTCTTTTCATTTTCCTTTGAATTGCCTATTTGCAAAATTGTTTGGGAACTCAAAAGTCTCAGTCTTATCTAACTTTCCACTTGTTGCAATTGTTAGGTGAAAGGACCTTCTGGTGATCAGATTCAAGATTATCGGGACAAGTTAAGTGAGAAATTTGAGTTTGTTGCTCATCAAAAAGGAGTACACCGTTTCTGCTTCAGTAATAAATCTCCTTATTACGAAACGGTCGACTTTGATGTCCATGAAAGCCATTTTTCGTACTATGATCAGCATGCGAAGGATGGTAAGTCATGTTTCATTTGCTTTAATGTTTCTCTTCCCTTGCTGAACCTTTAATATGAAGCGTACTGACTTCTGGTCTCATGTTTATCTGCAGAGCATTTCAACCCTTTGCTAGACCAAATATCTAAGTTAGAGGAAGCTCTTTATAACATCCAGTTCGAACAGCACTGGTTAGAGGCTCAGACAGAACGTCAGGCAATAGGTATATTTTCCTGAACCTTTTTATATTTTTAATTTAGACAGTTCCGGGTGATGTTCTGACCTTGATAACTTTGGAACTTGTATATCTGCTACTATACCTCCAGACTCATAGGTACCATGAACCTTTACTATGTTTATTAGATCTTTTAGATCTGAATTCTAGGAATGATTTTTCACAATATTTTTACTCACTCGATAAACGAAGAGTTTGTTTCGATATGTGTAACTATACATGGTTTTATCGGAGAACTAATATACAAGTTTTGTTGAATATTGTGAGGACGAAAAAAAAACCCTTTAATGTAGACTTTGCTTAAATCACTCTCATATGAATCCTTTCCAGTTGATTATTTTTCCCCTCTAATCATTTTCTTACTGTAATGCAGTAAATGAAGCTATGAGTAGAAAAGCAGTTCACAAGGCCTTCTACGAATCTGCAGCACTAATTGGAGCCAGTGTTCTGCAAGTTTACCTACTCCGACGCCTTTTTGAACGAAAGCTTGGAATGTCCCTGGTTTAGTTTTTACACGGCACTGCAATGTTTTATTAGTTAAGGGATCCTGCAGACTATTGTCATCTCAGGCACTCGATATACACATTAATACATGAAATCACTGACTTTCACTGTTTTGGTTGAGACTTTATATTTGACATTGTTGAGTGGCATAGACTTCAAAGTATGATTGGTGAAATCTGTTTCTGCTGAACATTTTTTTTATGGTTCCATTGGTGATTGATGTTCAGCCATAGACGGAAAACATGTTCTTCTACATGTTATAAACTACCATCAAAATCCAGCCATAATCTGAGAACAGGTTATTATGCATGTTATGAACTTCCTTTGAAATGCATTTCCAATAAAAAAAGAAGAGAAGGAAATGAAAATAAAAAGAGAAAAAAACACCGATCACATGTATAACATGAAGAAAGAATGTGTCACAGCAAAACCTCTGTGGCTTTATAACACAGGCGGCAAAGACAATGAAATAACACAATTTCTGATAACAACCACCAAATCAATATATAGATACAGCAAGTGTTTGTCTTGTTTACTTCTTCCCCCAGAATTAAATTTTACACCACAAAATGGAAATCTAGACGGGCTTATCAAGACCTATAGATCCCATCTTGTTTAGGAAAATATGGTGGGACATTAACATTCTTGTGGAAGCTCTTAGTCTTATGCGAGTTCTTCAAGATTCTGCAGCTGGAGCTAGAACACAGCAAAACCATTTTTTCTGAAATATCATCATAGCAACAATTTATAACGATAATTGCATATCGAAATGGTGCAACATTCAAGGAAACTGTTATTAGATGCCAAGAGCAAGTCATTAGACATTACTTACAGGTTGGGTTTTGCCAGGTTCCGCTCTAGGCTTAGCATGAGGATCAGCCTTTGCTGGTGACTCAGGTTTGCCACCTGTTTTCTTCTCGTCCCTTGCCTTGTTAAAGATCACAGTGAATCCCTCAGCTGAGGCAGGATCATTGACATCCCATTCACCAAATTTTGGCAATGGCTGGCCCTTTTCATATTGAGCAAAGTAAAAAGTGAATTCCCATCAAGACTCTTATAAACAAGGTAAGCAGATAGATAAAATATCAAGGTAACCGTTAAAGCATGCCCGAGTTTCACCAAGTAGCTAATTGCTACAATGTATTCAAAGCTCAAAATTAACAATTAGTCCACGATCAATAAACAAGGAAATGCCTTACAGAAAAAACAATTGCTCAAACAAATTGTCTACTTTGATAGTTCTTAACTCTAAAAGACGACTAAAGGGAAAAAGAGGCTATGACAACCCACTCTTGATTGTTTTTCAAGCTACCAGGGTACTTACAAGTGTAAGACATTAGATATTTTTCATTTTCCACATCACTAGACTTCTATTTTTCATGAGATTGAACATACGGGCAAATATTTTCTATTCTGAACTAGCAATACATTCAATTGAAGATAAGATCACTGATACAATCTAAACTGTAAATGCCAGTGAAACTGCTAAATGAAAGCTGCTAGTTACTAAAAGGGTATTACACAACTTCAGCTTCAACTTAGTAAAATTCTATTCATTTAAAAACTGCAAAATTAATTGGCATGCTTTGCAAAATTAAGAAAAAACTCGGGTGATCTATCCTGCAGGCTTGACATTATAGAGCATTGTTTCTGATTGTTGTATTTTTGGTGTGGACTAATAGTGTAAATGCTTGCTTTTATTAATTGATGAGTGTTCAGAATCGTTAATATTTGTTCGTTATTTCTTCGATTTTGTGAAGTTATTGATGCTGATTTGGTTGTGTTATGTCTATTTTCGTGCAGGTCCTTACTTTCCAGAATTGGTGATAAAACGGGCGAATTCTGCATTTTTTTTATTATTTGGTCATGGCTGGAGACATGGGCACGACTCTGGGCACGACGCGGTCTGACATGGCAGTTTCTAGAAGGTCCAGTCAGCAGCGGTTTCTAGGAGACTTCGTCTGCACGCCTTCTGGAAGATTGACGAGCAGAGTTGCATTAGGAGACTAGTTTAAGTTTGAATTTAAATTTAAAAACAATTATCTTTTGTATTATTTTATTATTTTCTTTGTTTATCCTTTAGGCTTTGAGAGGCTATAAATACCCACTTGGGGGTAAGCCTAAACTCATCATTCAGAATACATTCTTCTTTTCTCTCTAGTTTTTATAAAAGTTTTCTCTTTTCCATTTCAAGTTCTTTTTTATTTTTCTTTATTTTCAAGTTTTATTTTTATGCTAAGTATGACTTTTGTCATGCTTAGCTAAACTTTTCATAAGCCGAGAGCTGTCGCGATGATTCAATTCCAACGAGAGAATTGAAACGGTCCCTTAATATCTTCGGAATCTCTCTCTCAATCTCTGCGCTTATTTTTCAAAATCAAAACAGTTTTCAAAATCGAAGATTGACTTTGGTCAAGAAGTTGTTGCGATTAAACGTGTGGGAGGAAGATTCGGCTTATAGAAAGCAATTCGACTTCCTGGAAAACACACTTGGCGAGATAGCTTCGCCAAGAGGGAATTGAGATCGGAATTGACGGTTATAGAAACAACAATCCGAGTCGGTCACCACGAACTTAAACGGTATTTGATCTACGACAATAGATGCTGTTAGAATCAACTACCGAAGCCGGAATCAAAGATTGCCTTGGGTATTCGGTATACAAGATAGAGTCACAAGGATAGCCCTTGTAGACAAAGTAACCGACGTGAATCCGAAGAGAAAATCTTATTCGATGATCTAAAGGAAATTGAATCAAAGCGAAGCTTGAGGCTACTTTTACCGTATTTATTCACAATCTTCACCTTCTTATTTTTACTTTAATTACTTTTATTTAATCACTTTATTATCTTTACTAAAATCCCCCCATTTTTACTGTTTCACGCCTGGCATAAATAATTCAGACAGAAATTTATAATTTTCTAAGTCCTTGTGGAATCGACCCTTACTTCTCCTTGCTACGCATTTCCTTAATTTATTGATTGAGAATAAGGAATTATTTTGACAACAAAACGACAATTGTCAAATTGGCGCCGTTGCCGGGGACTTCGCCAAAGTTACTAATTTTTGTTTGTTTTTGATTTATGACCAGGACAAATCCGGGCACATTAGTGGAGTACAACCCGGAGATCGAAGCTGAAGCTAGGAGACTCCACGCACAGACACTTCGGGAAAGAAGGAGACAACAATTAGATCCAGAAGAAAGATCAAATTCAGGTAATACAAATCCGATGGCCGAACCTACTATTCGGGAGTTAGCCGCGGCACCCACTGAACAAGGGCCTATGTGCATTGATCTTCCCCAAGGCAAAACTCCATACCAATTGAAAACTGGCCTTATTCATCTCCTCCCTACATTTCGCGGATTGCCAAACGAGGATCCACACAAACATCTCAAAGAATTTCACATGGTCTGCTCTAGCATGACACCACAGGGAGTAACCGAGGACCAAATAAAACTTAGAGCTTTCCCTTTTTCCTTAGCCGACTCGGCTAAGGAATGGTTATTTTATCTTCCTCCTAATTCTGTTACTACATGGGCTAATATGACTCGTCTTTTTCTTGACAGGTTTTTCCCTGCGGCAAAAGTAAGTGAACTACGAAGGAGAATACTTGGAATCAAGCAACTTGATGGAGAGTCGCTCTACGACTACTGGGAGCGGTTTAAGAAGTTGTGTTCTAGTTGCCCACAACATGGGCTAACCGAACAAACACTCATTCAATACTTCTATGAAGGATTATCTCCCCTGGAAATGAAGATGATCGATGCTGCTAGCGGTGGAGCCTTGGTGAATATGACTCCTACCGAGGCTAGAGACTTAATATCGACGATGGCTGCAAATTCCCAACAGTTCCGCGCAAATAATGAACCTTCTTGAAGGGTTCATGAGATAAGTTCATCTTCATTGGAAAGTAAAATAGATAAGTTAACTGAAGTCGTAAACTCTCTTGTTGCAGGAAAGACAAGACAAAACAGAGTATGTGGAATATGTGCATTGCCTGATCATCCAACAGACGGTTGTCCACTGATTCAAGACGATGCAACAGCTCAAGTCAACGTAGTCGGAAACTTCCCAGGACCTCCCCAAAAAGCTTATAATCCTTACGGTAATACATACAACCCAGCATGGAGGGATCACCCGAACTTCAGTTATGCGCAGAACCCGAGACCGAATCAAAGCTATCAAGCGAGACCTCCACCACAACAACAGCCGCAGAAGACATCACTAGAATCGATTGTCGAAAGGTTAGCACTATCCCAGGAGAAATTCCAGACCCGAACTGAAGCCCACTTCCAAGAGATGGACAAGCAATTGAGCCAACTGGCTCAAACCGTTGGGAGATTAGAGTCACAAGGTAAACTTCCGTCTCAAACTGAAGTGAATTCGAGGAAAAACGTTAGCGCCATCACCCTTCGGAGTGGTACAGTAGTAGCGCCACCTATCCCATCGGACCAAGCAGTCCAAAAAGAAAAGAAGACCAATGACGCATGATCCCAGAATAAGAATGAAGAAGAACAAGTGGATGATCCGACGCCATCTCCCTATGACGTGCCACCACCTTTTCCATCAAGGTTAGTTAAAAAGGATAAAAAAACCGAAGAAAAGGAAATATTAGACGTACTTCAGAAAGTAGAGGTTAATATACCTCTCCTTGAGGTTATCCGAAAAGTTCTAAGGTATGCCCGATTTTTGAAGGATCTCTGTACGACAAAGAGGAAGCTTACCGGAGTCGAGAAAGTAAGCTTAGGAGCGAACGTCTCAGCCGTTTTCCAACGAAAGTTACCACCCAAACTAAATGACCAAGGTATGTTTGCAATCCCTTGTAAAATTGGTAAGATTGAGATTAAACGAGCTATGTGTTACCTTGGTGCATCAATTAATGTAATGCCTCTATTTGTCTATAAAATGGTCACTAACGATCCTTTGAAGGATACAAAGATTTCGATACAGCTAGCCGACAGATCAGTAATCTATCATGAAGGACTCTTGGAGAATGTATTGGTGGAAGTAAACGACTTGATATTTCCCGCTGATTTTTATATAATCGACATGGAGAATGAACGCACGAACACATCGTCCGATATTATTTTGGGGCGCCCTTTCCTGAGCATTGCACACACAAAAATTGACGTGAGAAGCGGAATTTTAACTATGGAGTTTGACGGTGAGATTGTTAAATTTGACGTATATAAGGCAATGAGATATCCTGATAAAGTGGAAAGTTTAAATTCTGTCGACTCAATTGATCCTTTGGCTGACGAATTTTTAAAGACTAATTTCTCTTTTGATATATGCAGGGAGCTGGAGGGTCATGATGAGAACGTGAATTATGATCATACATAATTGAATTTGATTTCTTCTAAAATCTTACCTTCCGTTCTGCAGGCACCCGAAGTTGAACTTAAACAGTTGCCTGACCATTTGAAATACGCCTTCCTCGGACCAAACAACACTCTGCCAGTAATCATATCAAAAAGGGTTATCTGAGGAGGAGGAAAAAGACTTGATCACGGTTTTGCGCCAAAATAAGGGGGCTATAGGATAGACCATCGCTGACATAAAAGGTTTGAGTCCATCTACTTGTATGCACAAAATTAAAACCGAAGAAGGCGCAAAACCAACACGTGAGGGTCAACGCCGGCTAAATCCACCAATGATGGAAGTGGTAAAAAAGGAGATATAAAAACTCCTAGATGCAGATATTATATATCCAATTTCGGATAGCAAGTGGGTAAGTCCGGTACATGTAGTTCCTAAAAAAACTGGAGTTACTGTGGTTGAAAATTCTGAAGGAGAACTTGTACCAACACGAGTTCAAAATGGGTGGAGAGTCTGCATCGATTACAGGAAGTTGAATTCGTTAACTCGGAAAGACCATTTTCCTCTTCCATTTATAGATCAAATGATAGAACGATTAGCCGGTAAATCTCATTATTGTTGTCTTGATGGATTTTCAGGTTTCTTTCAAATTCCAGTAGCACCTGAAGATCAAGAAAAAACGACATTCACGTGCCC